GGCAGACAGCAGAACAAAATCTTGACATGGCTGGCAAGAGAAAGGGAGTGAGATGACCAATGGATGACAACAAATAGTGACTTCTACAAATGATTGGCAAAATCAGATGTGGGTTCTGTCTTCATGGAGCACACAGTCTGATGGGAGAGATTCATCTAATAACCTTATAAACATGTGATTAAAACTGAGATCAGTGTTCTTAAGGAAAGGAAATTCAGTTGTATAATAACATATGACGAGGAAACTGAACTAGGTCGGAGGTGGGGGTGGTGAGGATGGTTGGGGAAGCCCAGAACACGGTCTGCAGGATGGCTGGCCTGGATTCAAGTTCTACTCCAAATCAAGCTGAGTGTCCATCAATTCATGAGTGGGTAAAGAAAATGTGGTGGATATATACACCATGGAATACTACTTATTCACAAAAAGGAATGAAATAAAGTCATTTGCAGCAACTTGGATGGAACTGGAGACCATTATCCTGAGTGAACTATCTCAGGAATGGAAAACCAAACGCCATATGTTCTCACTAATAAGTGGGAGCTAAACGATGGGTACACGCAGGCACAAAGAGATATAAAAGACACTGGAAACCAGGAATGGGGGAGGTCGGGAAGGGGACTGAGGGATAGAAACTTACCTCTAGGGCCCAATGAACACTATTCTGGTGACTGGCACACCAAAAGCCCTGACGTAAGCATTAGACAAGGTATCCACATAACGAAAACATTTATACACCCTTAAATTTTTGAAATAAAAAGAAGTCTTTAAATTCCACTCCACTTCCTACCTGTGTGATTTTGGATAAGTCACTTCACCTCTCTGAGCCCAGCTGCAACTATAACAATCTTTCCTAGGGTTTTAAAGGATGGAACCAGCCACTCTGTGTAACCACTTGGCCCATAGTAGGCACTTCAGTGGTTCCTTTCCCAGTTGGAAGAGGGGTGGGGAGTGTATCTTTGGAGTTAGCAAAAGACAGGATGATTCCTCATGTTAGCTTTGGAAAACGTCTTAGCCTGACAGCCGTGACCGAGTCTGACATCATCGGGCCTCAGTCAGGAGCACTGAGAGTCACACTCTTAATTAAAAATATTCAGAGTTTGTGACTAATTGCAATCCTTTTCAGATCCTTTCCCTAAGAATTTAACTTTTCTCCCCACCCACCCAGAGGTCAGGCTTAGAATGTAACAAGGCCAATAAATCTTCCACTGAAGATGGCCTCCCTCTAGAGCAAGCGGGAACAGGGCTCATCTGGATTAGGAAGCTAGACGGCTCCGAGTCACCTGGTGAGGTTTACGTGCACAGCTGGCGCCCAGCCCACCTAATTAGGACCAGAGAGTGGCGGAGAAGGGCACGGGCGCGCATTCTAGGTGTCCTCCTCCAGTGTCTGTTTCCAATAACAGCAGCAAGTAGCAGAGGCGGCAGGGCGAGTGTGGAGCGTGGTGACATCATCCCCCAGCTGTTTTACACATCTGTAACACGGCTCATTAGGACTCTCTTAACACCTCATCCTTCCCTGTTCCACGCAGCTCCAGTTGCACGAGAAAAGGTGCTCTTGCATGTGAGGGGCCTGGAGGTTGGGGCTGCCTTCAGGGTCAAAGATCCGCTTGGGCACTCTACCAGTCACTAGAATGTTCGCAAGGACACCCCCGTTCAGCATGTGTTCCTTTAAAGTGCTAATGGCTTCAATATGAGGCTGGCACTTCTGCCCGGTCGCTGGTGTTCGGGGCCAGCTTAGTGCTGGGGAGCAGACCATCTGCAGCAGCTGCAAAAATGTTTTTGCTTATTTTGAGCATTCTAAGTTTTTCCTAGCCATGAATAACAACAATCGAATAAATCATCCCACAGTGTGTAGGATGGCTGTTTTTTTCAACAAGAACAAAAAATGGTGTATCGTGTGCTGTGGATATTACACATAAAAAATTCCACCATATTTATGTGCAGCAGTGAACTAAATGTATTTAGATATTTGAGTCTGTCTTAAATCATATGAATGCAAAAATCTTCCTAGATTTCACTGGAAAGCCTCAATGACTAAACTAAAAAAAGAGTTTTATTACTATTAATATCAAGCGTAGTGCATATTCTGAAATAAGATATAAATGACATATACAAAATAAAAAAAGAAGCTTTGTCAATAGACAACCTCAGGGAATAGAGCAGAGTCCCAGATTTAGGGACTTTGGTTTGAGTTCTAAGTTTTACTAGGGAGGTTGTGGGGGTGTTCATTTAAACTCTCAAAGTTCCCACCCTCCTTTTTTTTGAATGGGGATGATAAAATGCCTCTCCCAGGTTTTTTGAGAGGATTGAAAACAAAAAATTTGGAAAGTGCTTAGCATTATACCTATCCCAAGGTTAGTGCTTGAATATGTTAGCTATTGTTATTATTGCTATTACTGTTCTTATTTCTTCTACAACTGTGTTATCATCAAAATTCAAAGTAACATTTTCATCAACTATTAAGTGCCACATGTATCATGTTTTAACTACTATAAAATGCTATTAACAAAAAGATAATTATTTTATTGTTTCTAAGAAATAAAAACGGCTGCCTATCAAACAGTGGCACATTGCTTTCTTGTTATATCAGCTGTGAGATGTGGTCTTTTCAGTTAGGATAGAGTAGGTTATGCTGCAGTAACAAACAACTGCAAAGCTCCATGGCTTAACCCAGCCAAAGTGTGTTTCTAGCTTACATTATATGTCATATGCCAGGCTGCGCTCACTGTGGTCACTTGGGAACCGTATTAGTTTGCTACGGATGCCATAACAAAAGCACCACGGACTGGATGGCATATGTAACAGAAATCTATTGTCTCACCGTTCTGGAGTTCCCTTTCTCCTTGGCTAGCAGATGGCCGTCTTCTCCATGTGTCTTCTCTCTGTGCATGTCTGTGTCCTGATCTTCTCTTCTTACAGGGACATCTGTCGCGTTGGACTAAGGCCCACACTAACGACCTCGTTTTAACTTAATTATCTCTGTAAAGGCCCTATGTTCAAATACAGTCACAATCTGTGGTACTGGGGATAGAACTTCAACACAGGAATTTTGAGGGGCACGACTCAGCCTACATCAGGAACACGGACTAGTGGAGGCTCCCGCTGGCCAGCTCCTCCCATGGTCACTGGGCAGGGGCAGAGGCACATGCCCAGCTGCACTGGCTCGTCAAGGCTTCCACTCAGGACTCATACTGTGGGCCGAAGCAAGTCACAGGGCCACATGTAACTTCAAAAGACTGCGTAACTGCGAAAGTGCAATGCCACCTAGTACCTAGAGCAAAAAGAATTGGCATTTTTTCTTGACAGCTTAATAACCATCACACAGCCCAATTTCAGAGACACTAACATGAAAGAAATGTGTATCTTAGAACCAACAAATAGGAGATATGAGAGATTGTAATTACTGCACGGTGAGGGTGATAGTTTGAATGAACAGGACTGACTTAGTCAAGTCACTCTCTCTAGGTCTCAATTTTCCCATCTAGAAAATGGACTTGGCTGGGCACAGTGGTTCATGCCTATAATCCCAGCACTTTGGGAGGCTGAAGCAGAGGATTACTTGAGGCCAGGAGTCCAAGACCAGCATGGGCAATATAATGAGACCTTATCTGTACAGAAAAATAAGAAAAATTGGCCAGGCATGGTGGAGGGTGCTTGTAGTCCCAGCTACTCTGGAGGCTGAGGTGGGAGGGCTGCTTAATCCCAGAAATTCAAGGTTACAGCGAGCTATGATTGTACCACTGCACTCCGGCCTGGGCAATAGAGTGAGACTCTGTCTCTGAAAAAATAAAGGAAAAAAAGAAAAAACCTGGACTAGATGGTTCTCTAATTATCAATAATTTAATGATCATAAATTTTAATAGTCATTAAAAGTATAAGAATCAAATTCTAGAAAGCATCAACAATCTCCCTGGCCTTTGAAAATGATCGAATTTTACAGATCGAGCCCTCTTTTCTTGTGAGCAGGTGCATGAGTACAGAAAGCGTGTGCAGTGAACCATTGCTGTTTGCCTCCTCATTGTCCATTTCTCCTGTTCTGGAAGCTCTCAAGGTATGTGGCCATGTTAGGAAATGGAGACTACGCTGGGCAGGTGCTGCATTCCTCTCGCCACCACACTTGGTGCAGGGATGTGCTCATGACAAAACCTGACACCATGAGATGAAAATAGATTCCTTTCTTCCTGAGGCTGCTGCGAGAGCGTCAGAATCTCCCCCCTGGGCGTGAGGCAGATCGTAGATAAGGTTCAAAGCTGCAAGAACCATTTTTCACCACCAGAATCCTGAGAAGGAAGCCAACCTGGTGCTAAGAGTCGTCAAGAGACCAATCTTATTTGATATTATTTGAGTCCCTGGATCTATCTGTGCCTGAAGCGAGATCTATTCAATAACATAAATCAAAAATTCTCTCTTTTGACTTGCGACTGAAAAGCTGGAATGGTCCTATCTGATAATGGAGTGGGATAATAATTTTGAATATTTAATCTAATAAGAATCCCAATGCCATGCCTGAATACCAAAAAAGATAACAGTATATTAAAAAAAAAGCATTTCTATCAGTTTCCTACAAGGCCATCAGAATTCCTGTCTCACAACTTAATTTTCTGAGTTGAGCTTTACTGTCATATATGAATAGCCATAGGAAAGTCACTAATGTATTTATTATAAAAATATCACTGAAAGACATTGTCTCATATATCACTCAGTGATGCTTCCATAAGTAAATTTCTTTTAGAATTCAGCATTAAGAGAAACCCAAGGAAAGGAGATGCCCTTCTCCTCTTCTGAATATGGGAATAACTAATCTTGTATTCCTTTTTGCTTTGGCTTCCAGGAAGCTCAGAACCAGATGCAAACCTCAATCTCAAGTTTTTCTATGCTACCTTGCGATTGGCACATTTTCCTTTACTTTGGTTCTTATGTTCCGTGTATCCTACACATTCTATGTGCTTTTGTTTTACACCACTCCAAACTCTTAATGGAAGAAGCTGTAAACAAACAGACAGATGTCGTCCTTGATCAGAAGCATGATCAGCACCACCAAAGCCCCGGGGGCCATTGGCCCCTACAGTCAAGCTGTATTAGTCGACAAGACCGTTTACATTTCAGGACAGATAGGCATGGACCCGTCAAGTGGACAGCTTGTGCCAGGAGGGGTAGAAGAAGCAGCTAAACAAGCTCTTAAAAACATGGGTGAAATTCTGAAAGCTGCAGGCTGTGACTTCACTAATGTGGTAAAAACAACTGTTTTGCTGGCTGACATAAATGACTTCAATACTGTCAATGACATCTACAAACAGTATTTCAAGAGTAATTATCCTGCAAGAGCTGCTTACCAGGTTGCCGCTTTGCCTAAAGGAGGCAGAATTGAAATTGAAGCAGTAGCTAGCTGTCCGAGGACCTTTCACAACACCATTGCTATAAGTGGGCCCAGTGTTTAGTCTGGAATTTTTACAGTTGATATAATAACCTCTTAATTCTTATAATTGATAGAAGCATAAGCTTGACTAAAATATCTGAAATTATCATGGAAATACGATATAATAGGGGTAGTTGAACATGAATGAAGATTAGATAATGCATCCAGTTGCTGGTGTGTAAATTACACTTAATGTATACCCATATGACTAAATGTAGGAAAGAGATACTTATTACATAGTTACTCAAATAAAGGGTAGGAAAGATGAGTTATTGTTTCTGAGAAACAATCAAAAGCACACTTAATCGAATTAATGATGTGAAATATTTAGTTTTCATGTCAGACCTATGATTTTTTTAGTTGAGTAAAATTAAAGTATTTAAATATGAATGGTAGAGGTCTGGGGGAGGAAGTGGACCAAAATTTTATATAATTAATATTTTTCTAATGGAAATAAAATAGACATGCATATTAAAAAAAAACAAAACAAAAAAAACCCACAAACAGACAAATGCAATATGCCATGTTCTTGCCATATGCTAAACGTTTCCTCTGAGTTGAAATCCGGAAAACTAGGCAGAGACCCCCAAATTCAGGTGCTGATATGAGTTCTCGGAGCCATGAGTTTCATGCTCCTGAAGCATGCAGCTTTCTGGGGTTAATACAGCACTCTGGTCCGTGTCTGTCCGTCTCCACCCGGAGGCAGCTCAAGAAGCAGCTCTGTGTGTTCCGTGTATTGTGTTCCTGTGGCCACACTGCAGGGACCTGTCCTCTATGGGACTTAGCATCCCCTGGATGCAACCTACATGAGGTTTTCTTTTTTCAGACGGTGTTAAGGGAAAGCTTTGCTGCAAATTATTTTCTCTCTTATAATAAATATTAGGCAATTGGTGCTCCCCACCCCCCACTTCGGCTGCTGGGAAGTGCAGATTTAAAAATGAGAAGATGAATAGCTTCAATTGAATACCCAATCTCTGCATCTGTCCAGGGACGTGTGGCCCGAAGCCCTGGCATGGAGACGCTCGAGGCCCGAGGGGAAGGTGGAGGGGACAGTCAAGGGCTAAGGAAGAAGAGGATGTCGGGGGAGAGCCCAGGAATCCTCAGAGTCATTTTCTCAAAGGCTTGACTTTCTTCTGGAACTTACAGTTTTCTTCCTCTAGATTTTGGCTATTGCAGACCATCCTGCAGCCAGCCAACCCCGAAGCATGTGAGCCATCGCGGCCAAGATCAGCAGAGCCACCTGGATGACACACAGCTGGCTTCGGACGCAGGGACGAGCCAGCTGAGACCGGTAGGCCCGCTCAGCTGACCTGTCAACTCGTGAGCAATAATAAATGCTTATTGTTTTAAACCACTGAGTGTAAGGATGGCTTGTCCTAGAACAACAGCTGATACACTCGTCCAGCCGTGCCTGCAGTGATGGGGACACAGTGCGTGCTACATAAATGCCTGTTTTGTGGACGGGATAGTCTCATGGCGTGGAATTGAGGGTCTTCACTATCGTGTGGCTTTCGTGTATGTCCTGGTTGAAGCCAAAGGAGGGAACATAGCTCCTAGAAGAGAGCATCCAACTATGGGTTCAGGAGACCTGACTACAGTCCCAAACGGCTGCCTGTCTGTCTGCGTGGGTCACGCCTGTTCTAGGTCCTCAGTTTCCCCATCTACACAGTGAAGGGGAGAGCCGGGCTTGGATAGGAGCCGTGGCCACCCTCAAGCCACCATCAAGCAAGGACGCTGCTACTGCTGTAGCCATCCCTGTTAGATGTCACAGATGACCTCGATACTGTCCCACACTGGCCACCAGGGCTGGCACCAGAAGTGAGATGATTTTGTTACCCTGGCTGCTTCTACCAGGGTGGTCTCTCCGTTGTCCCTCTTCTTGGTGTCAACAGCTCCCACCTGACAATATGGTGCTGGCCACGTGCCCTGCGAGGGGGGTGGGGCAATGAGGGTCTGGTCTTTCCGGCTTCGGCAGAGGCAGGCGGACCTTGCCTTTCACTAAGATTCATAGAGTTCTCCAAGCACAGGAAGGAGGCTCAGAGGCTGGGCACCTAAACGAGGGAAGAAAAATGTCCCCTACACAAAATCCTTCATAACGTTGTCTGAGACGAAGCTTTTAAGGGGAGTCTGTGAGGCTTGACGGGGGCTTGGCAGACCAGGTGCTCAGCAAACCTTGTGACTTCTCAGCAGTCGCGTTGACTCTCCAGGACCTGAGGAGAGGCAGGGCTTGCCCAAACCAGAGGGCCTTCCCCACCCCCGCCCCGTGGCCACTGGCTCCGGGTGCAGGCTCTGAAACGTCAGGGCTGTGCGTCTCTCGGGGGTGCCCCGCCACCGACCGGAGCAACAGGCCAGCTTGACGAGATGCCTTCAAAAGCCAGACCCTCTCAATTCCTGCGAAATCAGCTGGAGAACTTTATGGGCAGGCCGGCCCGCGGCAGCAGCCCGTGGAAAGGATCGCCCGTGGGAGTCAGAGCCTGCGAGCCGCACGCAGGACGCCGCAGGCCGCGGCAAGCCCGGCACGTCCCGGGCCCGGGGTGCAAATGCAGACCCTCTGTCCTGGCTTCAAACCCAGGGACATTTGGCTTCTTTCCAGGCTTGATCCTCTCCAACCGCATCCACTCTTCCTCCTCCCTTCCCTTGCCCGGAGCACAGCGCTTCACAGGGTGCCCGGGTGATCGGAGTCTGTCTTCCCGAGTGTAGAAGCGGGTAAATGCACACACTAGTTGGGGCTGTTATGTGAGGTCGGGCACATCTTTGGGGTGGGGTGGGTCACAGGTCCCTTTGAGAATCTGATGAAAACTGTCGACCCGCTTTCTAGGGAAAAGGCGCACATACGCAGGCCATTTTGCACATAATTTTATGAATCTACTAAGTTCATCCATGGAAATCTCGAGGGCCAGGGCACGAACAGCCTCGTAGGGCACGTTAAGAAATCCAAGACTTTCTCCAGAGTGCAGTTAGGATGCTATCACGTGCAGAAATTCCTTTCAGCTCTGTGCAAGAGAGACACAGAATAGGCCTGGTTTAAGCAGGTAGAGGTTGGTTTTTCTCCCTTGTAAACAAGCCCACGGTGGGCAGTGCACTGTTAGCTATATCCCAAGTTATTAACAACCCAGGCTCTTCCACGTCTCAGCTCTAGCTGTCCTTATACTAATGCCTTGTTTCCCCGAAAATTAGATATGGTCTTATATTTATTTTTCCTCAAGAAGGCACCCAGGGCTATTTTCAGGGGATGTGTTATTTTCCCCTCAAAGCCTCAGTGTGCAGCACGCACAGGATGGCCGGGACCTGACAGGGGAGCCGACCTTGGTGGGGCTGCCCGCACCTTTCCGGTCACCTCTGGGATATCGCTGTCACGATGGGCCAATGAGAAGGGCTGCTCGTCTTCTTACTGTTCCACCACGAAATGCATGGGTTGTGCAGATACACTGCGTAGCCACACCCATCACTAGGTCTTATTTTCGGGGGTAGGCCTTATATTGCGCAAATGCTAGAAATCCTGCTAGGGCTTATTTATGGGTAGGTCTTATTTTTGGGGAAACACGGTACCGGTTTCCATCCTCAGCCTCCCTTCATGGTCCCTAGATGGCCACTGCTGCTCCAGCCATCATATCAGCATTCCAGTCAGGAAGAAAGAGGAACAGGGATAGAAAGAGCCCAAGGCCTCCCAGCTGAGTCAACCCCTTTGTAACTGTGCTTTTCCTGGAAGTCCCACCCAGTGACTCCCACCTCCTTGTCTTTGGGCAAACTAAAATCAAGGTTACTTTCCTAAGGGAGAGGAAGAATGGATTTGGGGCAGGCAGTGGGCCGTATCTTCTGACAGAAGGAGAGTTAGAAGCAGGTGGAGATTGAGAAGGGCAAAGAAGCAATGGGGGACAGGTGGGGAGGGGCAAGGGCCCGAATCAGAGTGGGCTGGGGAGAAGTCAGTGTAGGCTGGAGCACTAGCACTTGGCGAGGATAAGGAGGGAGTTATCCGGAATCTCTCCTTGTTCCTGGCGTGGGCGGAGAGCCCATGCCAGAGCCAACTAGGGGCAAGAAGTCTTTGGGGGACTGGAGGGAGGATGACAACATTAGGCAGGGCTGCATGGAGACCGAGGGACCCTGGTCACTGAACAGGCGACAGTGGCTCCTAGGAAGCCTGCCCTGCCAGGAGGTCCCACAGCATTCTGACTTTCCCTATGGCCACTTAGATGATTGTCAAAATTAGCTTTACTGAGCTATAACTTACCTAGAATAAATGCACACATTTTAGGTGCACATTTCAGTGAGTTTTGACAAATGTGCACACCTTTTGTGCAACCACCACCCCAGTCAAGACACAGAATACTTCTGTTGTTACAGAAATTTCCCTCATTCCCTGTGCACGCAGTTCCTAGCTCCCCTACTGATCTGATTTCTATCACTGTAACCAATTTTGCCTGTTTTAGAACTTCAAGTAAATAGAATTATTCAGAAACTATTACTTTGTGCTGCGGTTCTTTTACTCAGCATCGTATTTCTGAGATTCATCAAGTTGTGAATATCAGGAGTGCGTTGATCTTTGTGTCCAGGTAGGACTCCACTGGATGGAAATGCTACAACTTTTTATCCATTCATCTGTCGATAGCTATTTGAGTCGTCTTCAGTTTTTGCCTATTATGAAAAGACTCTTATGAACATTTGTGTATAAACCCTTTGAGAATATATATTTTCATTTCCCTCAGGTAAATAACTAGAAGTGAAATGGCTTGATCATGAAATAAATATGTATTTAATTTTAAAGAGACTGCCAAATTGCTTTCCTAAGCGGTCGCACCATTCTCTTTTTCTACCAGCTATGTATGAACATTCACTTCCTCCACGTTCTCACCTACACTTAGTGTGGCCAGACTTTTTTTCCCCTAAGATTTTAGCCTTTTCAGCAGGTATGAAGTAGTATCCATTGTGGTTTAAATTCGTATTTCCTTGGTGACCAAAAAATGTTGAACATCTTTATATATGTTTATTGGAAATTCTTATATCCTCT